ATCAAGACCTCTCTGCCTATCTCCCTCTTCCCTTTCATGCCCTCTAAATGCAGAATGCGTGCGAAGTGGAGCTCCGATGTTCGTTGGTTCGGTTGTTCCCACTTCTCGAGGGTATGGCGGGTTTATATGTGCATTTGTGCCGAGTCTCTGAAGTCGCTGGCAGCTCTCGCTCGTTCAACAGGCCCATTCTTCACATGAGACAGGTGAGAAGCCTTTCCTCTTGCCTGCTCTTGATGGTGATTAAGGTGGGCAATGAAGAGTTGCACCAGTCGAGCTCTCTCTATCACACACATGCACACATGCACACAAGCATAGATGAGCACACGCGCAAGATTGACATGTGATATGAGCTAAACCGACTGAGAGACTTTCTTTTCGGCTGAATGTGCCCATACATTAAATACGCATAGACTTGCACACACATACATGCACGATACTATACAAAAACATTTCTAGAATATGCACACAAGCTGTAGTGGGAATTATTAAGTTGATGTTGGCATACCTTTCGTTTCTTTTGGGGTGGCGAGTGGGAGGAATTCGTCAATCGACCTCACCCGAAATGAAAGTAAGATGGCCTTAAAGCTGTGACTAAGCCTCTGTGTGAATCCTCACAAATCTGCAATCACACTTTTAAGACAGCTCCTTCTACGGCTTCTGGGGAGTTCACTTTATAATCTACCTTCTACTCGCCTCTTCAAACTAGACAAGAACTGGGGTATGATATTAACTAACGAACCCATTTTGATTTCGCAGATTCGTCTAAGTAGATATCGCCATAGGAAGGCGGCGAATCCCTCTCCTTCGACGGTTATTTGACTTTGCCAGTTGAAGATGCCCTCAAAACAAACCCCTTTGTCTCTAGTGGCAACGAGCTAGGCTTTCTTCTGGCATACCATTTGACAGGCATCATCACAATTATTTCGAGCTACTGAGTTGCGCAAACTAACCGACTTAACACAATCTGGAGTGTGCATAAATCATAAAACAATCAGGTAACTGTGTTTTCGTGCGTCTCCTGAGATCATGTCACTGTGGTGGCCTTCATGCTTTGTCTAATACAGTCGTTGCTAGGACTACTCGATCAAAAAGCAAAGGTGTGATCACGACAAGAGAGTTGACACAGCAGCCAAGGCGATATCCTCATTCAACGCTGTTGAAAATGTACTCAGTTGGAACTCTTATACAAGCTTTAGTGATCGTTCCGAAAACTACTTAATATGGATATAGGTAGTTAGTTGATTTTAATGGAAAAATACAAGTTTGCCTCATCGCATTCCAACAGTCAATGTGCCATGGAAGAGGCCTTATTTTCCTTTAAATGCACTTCCGTCTTGTAGGCCAGTGACATTCGTGGCAGGTTGGCGTTCCCGATAGGGAACATGTTGAATTGTTACATTGCACTAGCATAATTAAAGTTCGAGTTCTGCCGCAGGTGCTCGTGAGACTAGTTCAGGCGAGGTCAAAACTGCAGTCCTACCTACTGGAAAGTAGGGCTTTGTGAAATGTATTGGAATGCATTCAGGTGTGGGACAACTCAACTAAAATTTTTCCATCGACACATGCAGCCTAGGGTTAATACAGTTCTGAATTAAGTATTGTTGTCGTGACCACCAGTAAATCAGTAGTATGAGATGTATTCACCCAATTTCGTTTGAGGTGATGAAGGACTGGTAGAAGAAGAATTTCCCCACAATGGTATGATTTTAGCTGACGTTTCCATTCAATTTCACATTGCCTTGCTTT